TAAGATTAAAGTTATTTTTTCGGTTCTCTGGTGTATAACGAAAAACTGCGAAAAACTGTTTAGAAAACCAGTTTTTTGCCCATAACCACGATTTTTTGAAAAGCGCTGCAGATCCAAATTTTTACAATCATTAAAAAATGAAAAACGATTGTTTTCATTTAAAAATTTTTTTTTAAGTTCATTAAACATTAATAAAAAAATCTGAAATAGTGAGGTAAAAAAATTAATACATTTTTTTTCATTACCTTCTGCAGTTTTCGGCCCAAACTTTTCACGAATATTATTTATGCCCCAAGAAATGTTTCGAATTAATTTTTTATTAGGTTAATTCTCTTTAAATTTGCGATTTATTTGATTAATGGGATTAAACTTTTGCTATTTGATTAAACTTTACTCGCTCCAAATTTGACAAAGATATTACACATGCTTAAAGGATTGCTTTAAACTATTGTTTTGTCAAGTCTATTAGCATTAAATTTTCTATTTATTTAATTAAAGTCATTAAACTTTACTCCGTCTATGGTGTGATAACATGGGGTGAACTGCGAGCATGATATTTGACATATGAGCGTAAACATTATTAATGCACCCAAACTTTGAGCGTCTTATTTGGTATAACCTACTGCCTTAACCACGTCTTTAGTATTTATTTACTTCTACCCTTTATCACCGGCTACGATCATAATGCTCCCTTTTCATCGCCATATTTCTTAATACATTTTGCGCATTGTCTGGTAATAAGGAGATGATTGCAAACGCATCCTTTGACCTGTGCGTGTAATATTGTCCTCTTTCAGACCCTTAATTCGTGTGAAATCTGCTTATACCACGTCCCTCGTGAAACTCGTTCACTTTCCTCTATACCTTGAAGACAAAAAGGGATGAACTATAGAACCTGAAAGAAATCTGTTCGCGTGAATGGACTAATTATCCAATTCAAACCGAGAAGAATTTCATTGGTTCAGACTCATCTTTACCTTCAACAACCATCATGCAACACTTTGAAAACACATCAAATGAAGAAAGTTCTGAAACTGCCATGATGGATCAAAGGCATCAAGTTTGAACCATTGCCTTGACAGAATATAAAAGAACAGTTTTGTGGGCGGAAATTCATAGCAAACTTGGATGGAATGTCCTAATTTTCGAACGAAGATAAGATATTCTTCCAACATTCTTAAAAATTTAGAACGACGTCGACATTCTTGAACGGTAAAAAAAATGCCAAAGTTCAATTTGACCATCAGTTGTCTTCACAATATTTTTTTTCGACTCTGATTTAATTCTCAGAGGTGGTTTTGTTTTTTTGATGCACGTCGTAGAGCTTTTTAAATATTCATTACGAAATCTTCTTATCTCGCAAAAAAGTACGGCAAAACAAGATGAATAATAAATAGCAAATCTGGAATTAATGCAACCCTTCTGTATATTTGGTGAAGAGCGTTTTCGCGTTTAAGCTACCAATTTATTTGCTTTTGTCCGATTCAGCCACTTGATCAAAATCATCAAGGGTTAGGATAAAGATGACATCCTGAAAAGCATTCATTGTTTGGGATGATGCACGAAGTAAAAAGGACTTTGCGAGACATAAGGATTAAAACATCCAATGCAGGAAAATTGAAAAAAATCAGGTGTTCTCACTCAAACTCACCCATTGTTCCCAAAGGTACAAGGGCGGACGCTGCGACAGTATGCATTAAATCATCACCTCTGTTACAACAGATCAAAATTTTGCCTCTTAAAACCAACACGAGAGCTGAACTGCTCGGGAACCAAATGTCAGCGCAAATTTCAAAGGACCATTTAGCATTCGGTGACGGCAACATGTCAGAAAATGAAAAGATCTCAGTTTCAAATATGCTCCGTTGTAAATACTTTTCACAGCCTCAAATCTGATGTCTTTTCAGATCTAAAAATTTTGAAAACTACATTTGGTTGTTTAAACTTTAAATATCCGGTTCTTAAAAACACTAGTTTTAATTGAAAAAATCAATGAAGAACTGCTTTTTGCTTACCAGGATGCCTTCAAACCTAAATATCAATTGAACCGTTGCCGAGAAACAAGAGAATGATTGTTCACTATCCAATAGAGTTTCTAAACTCTTTGAATTTTCCAGACTGCAAAAATATCTGGAGTTTTTGACCCATGAATTGATTTTAAAAATCGGAAACAGTATTTTTACAGGTGGAACCTGAAACCGCCAAGGATCTGCAAGGAAAACTGCGTTGTGGTTGTAAAAATTACTGCCGCATGTTATTGAGGTCAAAATCAGGATGTGGTATGTGAGAGGAACAATATTAGTCTTAAAGGAAACGTCTCACTCCATTAAAAAAAAAGAAAACAGTTCATTTGCGGAAAATATACATAACCTTTAAAAATGTCCTGTTGATAACTATTTTCATTTAAAAATATATTGAATGTCATTAAATAAGTCTAAAAGGACAAAATTTATAAATCTAGATTTAGGTTGAGCCAAAAAGATCATGGAAAATATGTTATTTTCTCAAGAGTGTGTGAAGCAAAGTTCAAAATGCAGCAGTTTCACTTCAATCGGAACAACTAAAAAATGTTGTCTACAGAGAGGTGTTAATAAAAAAATTTCATTTAACCTCCAGCAGTTACAAAAAAAAAATAACACTTTTCTTCATTCAAGTTTGTTCCTGTTAACACGGGCCACCTTAAATTTTCGTGAGTGATGCACTTCACGTATCGTATTTTCCTTTTGTTTAATTCTTACTAACTGTGTCTGTTCCTCTTTTATCGGCATTAGATTCTGCGTCTATTTCAATAGATTTTCCACCCCAGAACTCCGATATATACCGTCTCTTTTTCATGTGCATAAAAAAAAAAAAAGCCTTTTAGGTAAAACTACATCTAAACTGTAACACTCTAAGGTAAAGAATTCCAGCCTTTTTTTTTTTAGGGTTACCACTATTTGATTCTCAAAATTTCAAAGAACGCTGTCAAGCCCTTTTTTAGAGCTACCACTATTTTATTTTTACACTGTCAGTGAAAAGTCCTTTTCCGGATTTCTCCTTAAACCATTAAGTGCCAAGTTTTTTTAATGAGCATTTTTGGCCGAGACAGGTGTTTTCGGAGTTTATTTATTCCTTATGTTTAATTTCAGTCGTTACCATTGTCATTTTTATAGAAACTAAAACATCAAATATATATGTGTATAAAACATCAAAAAATAATATTGATTAGAAATAATTAAAAAAAAATACTTTTCAAAATAGTCATTATTTTTCTACTCGTGAAATGTAGAATTACGACAGAAAGTGTCTTCTTATGACTAATAATAAAAACTTTAAAAGCTAAGTGTTGTAAAATATACCTCTTCAAATGCAATGTATGTAAGAAACTTCAATGTAAATACGACGAATAACATGTAGTGAGTTTAATTTTAACAGATCCCCTAATGGGGCTCATGGCAGGTAATGGGTTAAACTGCCACTTCTTGCAAGCATCGCTATGATTGAGACCCCGAGCAACGCCGGGTACCTCTGCTAGTTAATAATATAAATATTAAGCAGAATAAAAATGAATTTCTCGAAATTTCATTAAAGAAGTGGTGGCTAATAGATGTAAAAGTAGTATTTTTGCCAATATTTTCTAAAAGAACAGAAATATTTCTAAAATAATGTCATTCTTTTGTGAATAAGTCCTGAAAGTTTATTATTTGATCTTTGCAAGAATTTCCAAATCAATGTGTTTTTCACCGCAAAAAGAGACGCCAACATTTCTTATACTTTGCCCCGAAGACGCAAGAAAAACAAACTTTTGGAACAAAATTTCGAACATGCTAAAAAGAATTAAAAATATAATTTACCAAACAATTATTTCCTCTTAATAATCACATTAAGATTTTGACGATAAAACTTTGTACTAGGTTTGGAACATAGATAACTTAATAGACAGATAACGAATATATTTAGATAGACAGACAGACAGAAAGACAGAGTGAGCGGAGACAGATAGGTAACACCCATAGATAGAGTGATTCATAGCTAGCTAGGTAGCTAGCTAGCTAGATAGATAGATAGATAGATAATGTATAAGCTAAGGTGGAGACAGCTAGATACGTATGAGGCATAGAAGGATAGATAGATAATGAATGTAGATAGATAGATAGATAATGAATGTAGATAGATAGATAGATAATGAATGTAGATAGATAGATAGATAGATAGATAGATAGATAGATAAAAAACTGAGGGGGAGACAGAGAGGCAACAGGCATAGATAGATAGATAGATAGATAGATAGATAGATAGATATAGGTAACAGACATAGATAGATAGATAGATAGATAGATAGATAGATAGATAGATAGTCAGAGAGGGTTACAGGCATAGATAGATAGATGATAGATAGATAGATAGAGATAGATATGAATAGATAAACTGAGGGGGGACAGAGGGGTAACAGGCATAGATAGATAGATAGATAGATAGATAGATAGATAGATAAACTGAGGGGGACAGAGAGGTAACAGGCATAGATAGATAGATAGATAGATAGATAGATAGATAGATAGATAGATAGATAAACTGGGGGGGGACAGAGAGGTAACAGGCATAGATAGATAGATAGATAGATAGATAGATACAGACAGACAGACAGACAGACAGACAGAGGCATATAAAGAGAAATAGAAGCAGACAATAGAAGAAGAGGGGGTGGGGTTTATCGCACCCATTTTCTTCATTATGAACAAGGCGAAAGATAAAATATGAAAAATAAGAAAGCCGAAAAGTTGGAAGTGAAGGCAATAATTTGAGTGAAGAGTGCGATAATTGTATGTGCAAAATACCATGTTTTGCGCATTTTTAACATTTCTTCATGGGTCGAATATAAATTCAAGGCAACAGGTCCATGATAAGCGGAAAGATCATGCTGAGTAGTGCGCGCATGTTGCTAGCGGGTTCGATTCACGTCGGGGCCCCTGCCTGTTGTTTTTGTCGTTAACTAATTGGTCGTTGGAAAAAAAAATCACATGGTCTTTCTTCTTCCTTTTGTTTCCCTAGCCTCTTGTTGTTCTTTTTTTTATGTATTAAGTTAATTTCCCATTCTTCATAAATCATATTTCTTTGTCACTTCTTCTATTTTTCCTTCTTTAGAGCCTTTCCTTCTCTTTTTATTTTTATCATTTTTCTATTACTTTCACTTTCATATTGATTTGTTATTTTTTTTTAGATCGCCTTTCCATTTTTATTCGTTTCATTTTCTTCTGCAGTAGCCGTATTGTCTTTTTTTTCTTTCTCTTATTTCCCGTTCTTCTTTCTTTATATATATATATATATTGTAACTGTTTTAGCTTTTAATTTTCTCTTACGTCTTTTCTTTTGACTTTCTTACTTAGCTTCTTTTTCTCCTCTTTCTATAGAATATTTCATTTATTTCCTTGTTGTCTTTGATAGTCTTTAATTTCTTTTATCACTTTTTGCTTCGTTTCTTGATTCTTCATTTCATCAGCCTTTTTAATTGTTTACAGTTCAATTTATTCGTTCTTTTTTTTCTTCTTAGCTTTTTATTTATTGTTTTTTGTTCATAACTTTTCTTCTATTCACCTTCAATCTCTTTCAGATATATTGTTTATTTGTTAACGTTATTATTTTCTTTTTTCTTCGAAGTGTTTATTTGAATTTATATTCTTGCTCTTCTTAAATTTCTTTGACTTTTTTTCCTTACTAACTTTTCTATTGCGATGTTCATTTTTACACATTTCCATCCTTTCATATCTTATAAATCTCTTTTCATCAACTTACATATAAAGTTTTTTCTCGTCTTTTTTCAGTTTGCTTCTAATTTTCATTCATCGTCAAAACATTTTCATTCTTCCCTTTCGCTTTTTCATTCTTCTCTTTCGCTTTTTCATTATTCTCTTTTTTATTTTATCCCTTCCGTTTTTCATTCTCCCCTTCTGTTTTTTTCATTATTCCCTTCGCTTTTTCATTCTTCCTTTCCGTTTTTCATTTTTTCTTTCCGCTTTTTCATTTTTCTCTTTTGCTTTTTTATTCTTCCCTTCCGTTTTTTCATTCTTCCCTTCCGTTTTTTCATTCTTCCCTTTCGCTTTTTCATTCTTCCCTTTCGCTTTTTTATTCTATCCTTTCCGCTTTTCATTCATCCTTTCCGCTTTTTTTCATTCTTCCTTCCGTTTTTCATGCTTCCTTCCGCTTTTTTCTTTTTTTCTTTTGCTTTTTTATTCTATCGCTTCCGCTTTTCATTCTTCTCTTCGCTTTTTCATTCTTCCCTTCCGTTTTTTCATTCTTCCCTTCCGGTTTTTTCATTCTTCCCTTTCGCTTTTTCATTCTTCCCTTTCGCTTTTTTATTCTATCCTTTCCGTTTTTCATTCATCCTTTCCGCTTTTTCATTCTTCCCTTCCGTTTTTCATTATTCCCTTCGCTTTTTCCTTCTCCCTTTCCGTTTTTCATTCTTCCCTTCCACTTTTTCATTCTTCCTTTCCGCTTTTTCAATCTTCACATCCACAGTTTCATTCATCTTTTCCATCTTTTCATTCTTCCGTTTCACTTTTTCATTCATCGCTTTCATATTTCCTTTGATTTTCGTTTTTCCTATTCACTTTTTCATGCTTCACTTTGACTTTTTTTCATTCCTTTTTAGTTTTCCACATTCCCTTTCAGTTTTTCTTTCTTCGCTGCCACTTTTTCATTCTTCTCTTCGACTTTTCCTTCTTCGCTGCCACTTTTTCATTCTTACCTTCTACTTTTCCCCTACCCCTTTTTCATTCTCCACTTTCACTTTTTTCTTATTCCTTTCCAGTCTTCCTTATTCCCGTTCACGTTTTCATTCTTCCCTTTAACTTTTTTTCATTCTTTTCGTCAACTTTACATTCTTCCCTTTCATATATTCCTTCTTCACAAACACTTTTTCATTCTTCTCTTTTACATACGTCCCCACCATCTTTTTCATTCCTTCTTTTCATTTTTCAGTTTGTTTCGACATTTCATTCTCTCCTACCACTTTTTCATTTTTCCCTTCTGTTTTTTCATTCTTCACATCAATTTTTCATTCTTTTTTTTCACTATTTCATTCTTTCTTTCCCTCTTTCATTCTTACTTTGCATTTATTCATGCATCCACACCACATTTTATTCTTTTCTTTCACTCATTCTTTCTTCCTTTTCAGTTTTTCATACTTGTCTGTCAGGTTTTCATTCTTCCCTTTCCTTTTTTGGTTCTTTCACTCGACTTTTTTTTTATTCTGATCTTCTACTTTTTCATTCTTCCCATCCACTTTTTCATTCATCTCTTTCAGATTTTCCTTTGTAACATACACATTTTCATTCTAACCTTTCATTTTTTCCTTTCACATTTTCATTCTTCCTATTCAAATTTTTCATTATTCTCTTTCAGTTTTTCATTCTTCCCATCCACTTTTTCATTCATCCCTTCTAATTTGTATGCGTCCCTTAGTCTTTTCATTCTTCCCATTTAAATTTTCATTCTTCCCTTTCACTTTTTCATTCTTCCCAT